ACCTCGTCCCCGCGTGCCTCCATGTAATTCGATTGCAATAACATATATTATAATATTATAATATCGCGTGGAAATCACAGACCACACGACGAATCCGTTCTACGGTAAATCAAGTATCGTACAAGTACGGTTATTACGCGTTTATTAAATCTCGGTCGGCCATTGGATTACCATAATTTCCGTTCGAAACAACACGTGCACGGTGTGACGGACCTTCATCACTATGTTTCCTCTCGTGCAAGTGGTAGTTATATAGTGGTGGTTATTTTTTTTCACACCCCCTTCCCTTCTTCCCGTTTACCTCACGCGTTGTCGTCTGCTCCGCTTATACGCTACTGGATCGACGATAAAAATATCCTGAATTATAAAAAAAAATGTATTTGCTGGCGAACACAATGGCTACATTTTTTTTTTTTTTTTTTATAATTATCACATGAAAATAATAATAATAATAATAATAATAATGATAAAATATACTCCTACGTGTCTTTCGGCTAGTAATTCAATTAAAAATTACATTTAAAAGGGGTGATTGGCGCACAAACCTATACGTTGACAGATCAAGTGGCTGTCGTGGTAGTTTTAATTTTAATTTTTTTTGTACCGACTTGTTTCCTGGCGGTGATGAGTTTAAAACTACGACTGCGTAAAATTAATGCGTTCTTACAATGTAAATGGTCCCACCACGAGTCGGTTTTAAAAACGTACTTATCTATTCTGAATTGCTCTACCCTCCACCACACATAATATATGTGTGCGCGTGTTCGTGTATTCACGATTTAATATGAATTGCTACGAGACGGTTATCCTCCAACATTCGACCTGGCACATAATAACACATTACACCGCAATAAGAACGGTTCAACGCTTTCGGGGCATTACTTTTATCAACGGTGCACGCGTACGGTTTCGTAATGGTTTATTTCCGAACTCGTTGGCGTTCCGATTGAATTCCGCGCGAACCGACTTGGACGCGACACGTTGTACGTTGCACAGAACTGCGATGGTTACACGAGGACCAAACATTCTGTCGGGGGAGGGGGCATGGTTGAGATTTGATACGCTCGTAGTATAAAATGCTGTCGGCAACGGGCGTTCACACCGTTGACGCGCGTTTCGAGACGAATCGATTGGACGCGCGTTTCGAGACGAATCGATTGGACGCGAAGTCTCCTGCAGCTACGACGACAGCGCGGTTCCGCGTAAACGCGCGTGAAAATATCACGGGAGCTCCGCGCGGCCGAGACGATCGGTAATGTTTTTTAAAGTCCGCGCGACACGGAACCGGCGCGAAACGACCGTCAACGGGTTCGTAGGTCTCGGGGGACGACGTCGACAGTGGGCGAACACATTTGAACAACCGATGCCGAACGTTGTTCTAGCGGCTTTCGACGTCGTGTTATCGTTGGATAAAAAAAACCTATCGAAAGTGACGCGGCCGTGGAACGCGCGATGGCATACGTACACCGACGGAGTTCGACGTCCAGCGAGCGACTGTCCCGTTGCGTCTCCAGGGCCCGCTGCGAAAAACCGAATTGCACCGTCGTCCCGCGTACAGCGTTTGCTGAGCCCGCGACGGTCACGATCCGGACCACAGCTTTGACGTTCGATAATCGATTTCGAGAGATATGGGTGCGACGTGGCGCGAGCGCGAGTTTGTGGACGAAAAAAAAATAAAAAATAAAATCATTTTTGTCCGTCCGTCGTTTCGTCCGAAACGGTCACCGTCGGAAATCCGGCTCTTGCGCGCACACGTATCGAGGCGCGTTACATGCATAATGTATTCGCGCTAAATCCCAAACTGTACAGCGTGTAATGAAAAAAAACATTTCGCACAGAGAGGCCGGAGGTTCGGTGGAAATCACGGAAAGATACAAACAAGTAAAAAATATACAAATAAATGGTCGGAGTGCTATGACGGTGCGCCGAGTTTCGTACCGTGCACAAAGCCTCTCTAGGGATTGCGGGGGGCGATCGGTGGCTCATGAATTACTCAGGGCGTTACTCGTGGTCCAATGATTTTTTCCACCTCATTTCTCGGTGGTATCGCGGCAACAGAGCGTTCCCGCGGCGAGGGGTGTTTATAGCACCAGTGTCTCTCTAACCTAACCGTGAACCTCCGCCGACTGCCGACACCACCGCCAACCTCGTACACCATATAAATTCGTACATTTTTATACACATCAAAATATCCATATCCTATGGAAAAATAAATGTATATATGTAAGCGATAGCCCATCGAATTTTATAATTCTACAACCCGACCGCAATTATCTCTGCCTATTAACGAGACAGCTAGAGTTGTACTTAGAGATTTCCTCGAGGGAACGACAAAAGCAGATTTGTTAATATAGAAAAGGCCAAACTCCTGGATTGTATGAGATAGATACAAGGATGCACGAGAACGTATGATTTCTATATTTTGAACTTCAAATAAATAAGCTGTCTAAAAAACTATTCAGGCTGAAAGAGTTCAGGTGGGCGAGATTATATTTGGTTATTAAACATTTATACGGTTGATATAATAGAAGAGAAAAATTTCTTAATAACGTTGATTGAAAATTTCGATATTCTAACTTTCGCATAAAAAAAAAAAAAAAAATAGATAAATAAAAATGTTTGGGAAAATCGATAATGTCAAAGGTTATAAACGTATAAGATGATTTTAACATATTTGAAAAATTAAAAATTAAATGATGAAGTATCATAAAGTATCAAAAATTCGCTGAAATATTCGATTTCGTTAACATTTAATTTTGTAGCATTTATAAGTGATATTTGTGATTTTTAGTCATTTTTTATTTTTTTTTACAACAAAAAGAAAACTATATGAAAATTGTAACGGATTTTCGTGATTTTTTTATCGTTTTATCAATATTAAATCTTCTAACGCACGTAATTTTATTTTATTTTTTTATTTTTTTTTGAACATTAAGCTCAATTTTTTTTTATTATTAATTTGTGATAGATAAATAAGAAGAATTTAAATTAAATTTTTAAAGTTGTAATCATACTAGAATTATTTTATCAACATTTTCGATAAAAAATTGAGAAAACATAAATATTTAAATTTTCTATAATGTAATCCTTTTGAAATTGTTACCATCTATAGTAATTGGGGATATTATTATTCAGTAAGATGTTCATGTCTCGAAGATTATTGTTTTTCATATTATGATAAAAACAAACTTACAATTTTGTCAAAAACCAATATGGCATAAGTGTTATCGTATTTACATAAATTTTCATTAGTTTTTCACAATTGTTAAAAATCAATTGAGATATTGTAAAATTACTCTTTTTCGAACTACTAATTAGACAAAAATGTTTATCAAAAATTTCCCATAGTAAATTAATGATTGAATCAATTCATCTTATCAAAATCGTGTCGCAAATACACAGAAAAAAAAATCATATAGTGGTAAACCGGTAAATTTATCGTTTCATTTAGAATATAAAATAAGCTATCAACGTAATAGCCCCAAATTTCCCCCCAAATATACTGAAGAGAACTTGTAATGTATACGCACGCACGCGCGCGCGCGCGTGTGTGTGTGTGTATGTGTATGTGTGCAACAATTGTTTTTTTTATGAGTAAAAAAATGACATGTCACAAAACAATTTTATTTTTAACGTGGTTACCGTTTTATTTTGAATTTTCAAATTTTCAAATTTTGAGATCATTATCCCTGCAAGGATATATTAATGGTATAAGAATATTTACGTGTCATTTATATTGTGTTATTCTGAGTGATAATCTAAATAATTTAAAGAGATGACTACTAAAGATAATAAGATAAAGATATATTTCTATTTTATGATTTTAAATTACCATTTTTCAAAAATCTAAAATCGATTTACTATTTTATACGCGAACCAGTTACGATATGCCATTTTGAATGGCTGAAATTTGTTAATTTTAATGTAAAAAGGGTTTATACGTAATAATTTTAAACAGCTATATTTTTCACAATCAAATACAAAATGTTTAATCTTTAATGTCTAACATCGTGAGGTAATCCAAATTTTAATAGCATAATATGTATTTGCTTGAATTTTTATCTTTTATTCTATTCATTATTAAGCCTATGTTATACTAAGTAGTGTCAATAAAAACACCATTTATATTACAAGTTTGTGTAATAAAATGTTTACACATTCATCTCAGTTATCTTTTTATTTTTTTATTTACGTACTCCTAGTTCATAATTCATCGTACAAAAGCCGTAAAAATTATTACGTTTAGTATTCTTTTGTTTGGTCTCTCGAGATAATCACAACACGTCAACGATGAGAAAACAGCGAATTACTAAACAAAATATTATAAATGAATAAACTATTGGTTTTTATATTCTTAACTGCCCATTATTATACATTACATTTTCGAGGAAACGGAATAAGATCAGACGTTTACATAGAACTTGAAACTTTTACATAGTAGGTACTATGAGACTCAAATTTATTGATACTTAATACTACCGTAAAATATTTTATCTGAAACAATGAGTAATGAATAATGGATCGTTGTTTACAATGATCCAATGTTTGCCGATGCAATTTTCGCGTTCTTTAGTCTCCCATACTTAATGTTGTTCGTTTCTAGATTCAGTAGGAAAGGGATTCGGAGCAACTTATTAAAAATAAACAACCTTAATTCTAGAGTAAATTCTAGTTTTCTCGGGAGACTTACGAATAAAATTGATAAATAATCTTTGACCATATAAATTAACGCGCAAGGCGTATAAGAAAATTATTGCTGCATACACTCGACGATAATGCATATAATGGTGCAGTATGCTCTACAAGCACAATGATAACCGGTCGTCGCCGACTTGGCAAAATGCGTTTTGTTCGAGAACATTATATAATATTTTCAACGCTATTCTCGCAGGATTTCTCTCCCACAATCGTTTTTGATCAACGATGCATCGGCTGCTGAACGGTTACCACTTTTATGTCGTGCATCAGTACGCACTACCGTTAGCTGTTGTACCACTTACCAGCTCTGACTTGAACGGTGCGGGATACCACGGTACCGGCGCGGCTGTGGGCCACGCACCTGTACGCGGCCGAATGAACGTCCGGCGAGTACTGGTGCTCAGCAAACGGCAAGAAAACCAGTGTGCCATTGTCGTCCACGTGCATCAAAGCCCTAACGTCCCCGACCGTGGACCCATCACGTACCAATTGCCAGCGGACCAGAGGCCGCGGCATCCCTTCAGCGGCGCACTCCACCCGAGCCCCGGTGGCGTTGGAAAAAAACACTGAAACAGGTGGCTCGACCACGAAACGTGGACCGTGCTCCTCGCCACCGTATCCGAAAGCTGAAAAATAGAAAACATACATCCGCATAAACATTACACTCATGTAAAGGAAAATAATCTTAAAAAAAAAAAAATGTAAATGTAGCATTTGAATGTTGCGCAAAAGGTACTACGAACACGGTTCGAATACTTTAACATGTTTGAAGAAAAAAAATACACTTAATTCCCTTCTTGACCCGTCCATACGTTTGTATTTATATGTTTTATTTTTTTATCTCCTCGAACAAAAGCAATTTAAACAATAATTGGCTTAAGCGTCGAATCGAATCGCAACGTCTGGGTGGAATCCCTTTTCCGTTGGTTTTCACACGGATAAAGCGATTTGTCTACGGTTGGCTTTTACATAAAGTAATTTTACTACATATATTGATTCTTATGACTACAGAATGATGGCTTAATACAATGTGTGTACAATGTTAAATAAGGGACAACGATAAAAAATATTAATTTTGTGGAATACGTTAACTAACGATATATCAATCGATATTATATTCTATTTTTATATTTTTTTAACAGTCATAATATTATTTATTTATATTAATACTGACTTCTAGCTATTTAACATTGATTTTTATGATATTGTGTAAGTCTAATAATAATAATGTAAATCAGTTCTAATTTTAATGCGGTTTTCGAATTCAAATCAAATATTAGAAAAATAAGTTTAAATGTTTCGTTATTGAATAAATAAAATAATATACTTAGAACATAATATTCTAAACAATGACAGTTCAGTATCTGAACCAGAAATTGCAGAAGTTTATATCCTTCAAAAGTTTCAATACTGGATTTCTAAATCGACAAAGCTTTGATTTTAGTAAGGAGTTTCTTATTTTCACGGATGAAATATTTCAAATATAAAATGTGCAGGTACAGGAAAACTACCCTTTTTCCATAACCCGATCACGCCATCAAACAGAAGAAAAACTATTCCAATATTACTGACATATATACATATATTTATTGTTGGATGGTACTGTAAAGATTGAAATACACATAGATATTGAGAAGGGTGATCAATTCTACCCAGATTACCAAACTAACTATATTAAATTCAATCTCTAGCATAGTCTTAATCGGGTTTGTCAGAAATTCCAAAACTATATTACATTATAAATGACCTAACAAATTGTATGAAGGGTAATTACAGACTCATTGAATACGTCAAACATTTAAGTCAAACATGTGATTGGTTAATTGCAAATTGCTTTTCAAATATCATTCGATTGTAAATTGTCGTGATTTCTCATGCGCTAACAAGCTTAGTCCAAAGTTTCAAAATCAATCTATTCAACTGGCTTTCTATTATTCTAGTTGAATATAATTTGGTTAGCTTAATATGATAACGTTAGCGTATGTTATTTTTTTCATGAAAGTTTAAAGGTTAACATTGAAAGTTCAAAAAATGAACGAAAAGTTTTTATCGTGAATTATTTGACTTATTTTTAAGACTAGAGAAAAGGATGATGGAGTGATGTTAAACCTTGATAAGCATTTGAACCGTCGTGACAAAAAAGAAAATAATCGAGAAAGAACACGAATGCAACACCTATTTTTTTTTAAATTATTTTAATAGTTATAAATGATTCATTTTCATAGTTGTCATATTATTTCAGTGATATTTTCGTAAAGGAACTAACGGGCGACATGTCGCCGCGACCGACGACCAAAACTTGTCGTTGCGACGCATTTTTTCTGTTGTATTTTACTAGACGCGACATGTCGCTGTGATTTTGGTAGTTATATTTTCAATTCGCTTGCAAACCTGTCCAAGTACATTTGTGTTCATATGTAACGTGTATTTAATTCAAATAATTTTAGTTAATACAGTTTTGTTAAAATTATTATGGATCCATTTATTGAAATATGCATTAATAATAATAATAATATTTTGACGCTGTTATCGGATGAAGGAAATTTTATATTTTTCTATCTAAAGTCAAAAAAAAAAAAGATGACATATATGTTTAGTATGTTGAATATCATGATACTGAAGGTTTTTAAGAAATATTAATTAATTGACATTTCAAAAATAATAACATTCTTAGAAAATTATATCTGGAGAAAAATAAAAATCCATATTATGAATATGAACCGGAAAAATCGCCTCCTATTAACAATATTATTTCATTTTCGTCGTTGTGATATGTCACGGCAACTTGTCGCATAGCACTGCTCTCGGAGCAGTATTGTCGTCGGTCGCGGCGACCCAAAGTTCGGTCGTGGCGACCTTGCAAAATAGTTGATACTATTATCGTGTAAATAGATATTGACGACATGTCGCGCCTTGGAAAACGTACCTTAAAACAATAATAAAATTGAAATTCTGGGTCTGTAGTTATAGAGGCGTTTTTGGTCTGAAAAGCACGGCAGGCAAACGAAAACAACAGGCCTTCAGATATTTTTTACTGACTTCTGTTTTTAACATTCAATAAGACGTAATAGTTAACCATTTAAATATTTTTTAAGACTAATGTCAAGAAACTTTGAAACTGGTAATACTGACCATGGCTGTATCTAGATTTTTCATGAGAGAGGGGAGTTCTAAGATTTTAAATAAATTTAAAAATTGTTACAAAAACAACATTTATTATTTTATAAATATAATAAATTATTGCAGTTGATCGGTATCGTATAATTCAGTAACCGACAAAACGTATATAATGATCAAAACATAAATTATTTGTAAAATATTGAAGAAATTTCGAGGTAGGATTTTCGGACCACATGGATCCTCTCAGATACGGCCTTAATACTGACTTTTAATAATAACATTTATATTTGGGAACATAATTTTAATTTGGAAGTTCCCCTGGCTACGGAAATCACATAAGTGCAATTGACGCCCAGGTTTGGTATGCAGATAGTATGGGACGTATATGGCAGATGTGATGATGACATGAATACATATGGTTGAAGATGAGGGTCAGTTTGAATAATTAATTACTTTTAAATATAATCATAATATATATAATTTGTGATCCAGAAGAAATAATTGTTGTGGTCGGACCCAAAATCCGAGTGGCTTGGGTATTGTCTTTTTTTTTTTTTAAATAAACTACGATACCTTATATTATACAGTATAAATACATCCGACTGTAGTGTACCATAGACATTATTTATCATAGACATATCCATGAAAATCGTTTCATGCTAATAAGCATCCGAATGATAGTGATGGACTGAAAGTCAAGATTTCATTTAAACTTATTAACATACTATTTTTACAAGCCGAGATTAGAATGTGTAGTGTGTATTGTTATTTAGTTATTATTAGCACGTAATTTGTGTTCTCTTAAAAAGTGCATGATTTTTAATGCACTCTGAGCAATATTTACATCTGAAATTGGCATATATCAAATATTAAATACTAAGGGTTAGATTACGGACATAACCAGAGTAGAACTACATCTTTTTGATGAGGGCCTTTTAACAAAACAATTTATTTTTAATTTTTTTTTTAATTAAATTTTATTTACATGTTATACTGTCTATCGTATGCACTATTGTAAACTTAAGTTCCATGAATATATATATATATATATATATATATATATGTTTACTAAAAAAATGTGTTACGGCATGTGAAACCCGCAAACCTGAGCTATGGAATGCATTTTACGAAAATGCAGTAAATTATTTTTTTAATTTATAAAAAAAATTTATAATTTTACAAATATAAGTTCTAAATGATGAAACTTTTAAAAATTATATATATTTTTATAATTATATTTTATCTATAATCCAGATAAATATTTAAATATTATCTAATTTATCTAGATGAAATGTTAATTAATTATCAAATACCTAAACTAGGTGGTATTTTGGTTATTTATGTACAACACTGTCATTGCACACACATTGATTTTGTCCTTGTTAAATAAATATGATAAAATAATATACGATATTTTATAGTAAAGCGTTGTAGCACACTACAAGTTTTATTGTAGAGAATGTTATTGCTCCTATCATTATTTCTTGTCATAATAATTATCTTGCCACATTCTATTATAAAAAATAGTAAAGTATAAACATTTTTTATAGTTTTTTTGTCTCTTTCCAAGCGTTTCTTAATGCATTCCGATCTTAGTAAAATCTAATGTCTTGGCTGTAACTTAGGTCTCACTCGCACTAATGAAATCAGAATTTCATTATCAATATTTTTACTAATTTTTTTAGGAAGCAAAATAAAATTTTACTTAAATTCAAAACCGGCCGTATATAAAAATGTTCTGCCAACTGCACAATACGAAGAAAACGAATTATTATAAATGATAACGGTGATATTAATAAAAAATTATAACAGTTCCTTTATTTTACAATATATTTATTTTACGGTGTTTGATGCATTTGATATTCAATTCTCCTGCTCCGACAATGAGACTGTAAAAACAACATATTATCACATGTGTGAATCGGAATTTCGTCAGAAAGGTAATAAAAAATTGTTGACGTACTTGCGTTGACACCTGGTTTGACGCACGATAAGTACCAAATATTGATTGATATCTACAACTGTCATCTTCTCGGAAGTCAACTTTCGAAACAATGTTTCCTTCGACGGCAGTATATTATTATTATTATTATTATCGGCTGTTGTTGTTATTATCAACATATCAACGACTACGGAGTATGTACACGTAAATGTACGTATATTAATTCACCGCGTGTGTACACGAACGATTATGGAGCGGTGCAAACCGATCGAATTAATATCGTATGTCAAATATTGTGGTAACGACCACCGCCACGAGTGGAACAATAACAGTAAATACATTAAAATAATATTGTATTATTCGGATTATACTGGCCGTGAGCTAACGTTTCCAATGCGCTTTGATAACCACACCCATCGTGAACACAAAGTGAATTGGTTTATGCATGTGCGATTCCGATCTATTCGAAACGCGCGTCACTCGGATAATATTTTCGCAATACATTTTTCCCAAATATCAGTAATAAGCGAAAATTATCAAATTTTGAGCGAAAAAGACCAATTT